AAATTCTAACCTGTAATATTTTAACAGTAAAGATTTTCAAATAAATAAATACATACATAAATAAATAAAATAAGATTTTGGTAGATATAATTAAAGGTCTTAAGATGAATCATAAAAACAGAGAGCTATACCCACTCAATCAATTCCCAGACTGAGCCACCTCATAGACCTAGAACCTTTTGAATGAAGGGGAAATGGGTCCTCTGGAGGAAGGATTTTCAGTACACTACCAAACAAACAAACAAACAAATAAATAAATAAATAGATGTATACTATTACCTGGAGGCCTGGTGCACAAAATGCATGCACAGGTACAGTCTGTAGGCCTGGCCTGTGATCAGGGCTATCTTCCCCAGCTGCTGGCAGCTGGCCCCACCCCCTGCCGCCACCCAACCCTGGTTCCCTGTTCGCCATCAAGGGATCAGAGACTGCCAGCCGGGGGGAGGGACCGAGAGGTGGTCAGTGCACCTCATAGCGACTGGTTGAGCAGTTATTCCGGTCATTCTGCCATTTGGTCAATTTGCATGTTACTTTTTTTATATACTAGTTATTATATTATATAGATCGTTCTCTAGCGTTCTTCAAAATGAACTATGGCCTTCTACCAGGATAACTGCATTAGAGAAAAGGAAAGAATCATATTTTTAGGAGCTACTGGACACTAGTTATGAACTGACATTAATTCTAGAAGACCTAAAATGTCACTGTGGTCCACCAGTCAGAGTAGGGGCTTATGGATATGGAATGATCAAGGAAGTTTAAGCTCAGGTCTGTCTTACAGTGGATCAGTGGGTCCCTGAACCCATCCTGAGGTTATTTCCCCAGGTAAGAAATACATAAATGAAATAGACATTCTCAGTAACTGGCAAAATTCCCACTATGGTGAGGAAGGCTAAGCGGAAGCCACTAGAACTGTTTCTCCCTAAGAAAATAGTAAACCAAAAGCAATACCACATTCCTGCAGGTTCTGCATAAATTAGTGCCATCATCCAGGACCTGGGAGATGCAGTTGTTGTGATTCCCACCACATCTCTGTGAGAGGGGAGTAAGCCAGGACAAGTAGAATAGGGAAACAGAGACAGATAGATAGCAGAGACTCCATTAGGGTCTTCTGTGCCAACCACACCCAAGGATGAATGAAGTCAGGAGAATACATCTCATGTTGGTTCATCAGCATAAATCTGATGAATATTCAATTGAGATCCTCCTCTAAGACCAGCTTGTCTTGGGCTTACCCCTGCGGCCTTTAGAAAACTTAAGAACCCTCAAGATGGAGACCTAGCCCTGGCTCTCTCTGGAGCACCTTTCTTTCCTGTCAGGGGTGCATCTTTACTTTTCTCTCCTAAACTCTAAGGGTCCCCTCAAGACTTGCAGCCAGGGGAGCAGGGGGCAGTGGCAGCTTGTCCTGGGCTTACCCCCTGAATCTGCCTCCAAGGCCCCCTTTTCTCTGACTTTGCAATGAGCTAATAGCAGCCCCCCTGTGGCTCACTTCTTTCCTCTAATGTCCCTGAGAGCCAAAGCAAAGCACCACCTAGGCTCTCTCCTGTTGCTTCTTCTACCCTAAACCCTTTCTTTGTTTCACTGTCCCCAACTTTATTTTATTCTTTTTCACTGTCCCCAACTTTAATAAATGTTCTTTCAAAATCACCTGGATTCGTATTGTGAAATCTATCCTGCACGAAGTCAAGAAGCCACACACTATCTGCTGGCCAGTCCTTTTCCCACAGGCCTGTGATGGGTCCGGTCCATTCCCAGTGACACCCATTCAACTCACCTGTGTGGCCTGTGCAGAAGACAGATGGATCTTGGAGAATGATCGTGGGTTATTGTAAACTTAACCAGGAGGTGACTCTAATTGCAGCTGCTATGCTAGATATTGTTCCATTACTTGAGCAGATTCACAAGTCCTTTCGTACATGGCATGCAGCTGTTGATCTGGCAAATGCCTTTTTCTCCATCCCTGATAAGAACCATCAGAAGTAGTTTGCTTTCAGCTGGCAAGGCCAGCAATACACTTTCCCTCGCCTATCTCGGGTGTATCAGCTACGTAGCCCCTGTCATAATTTAGCTCACAGGGATCTTGGATCACCTGTTGGAAAACTTGTGTTGGAAAAGGCAGGCTAATGTCCATTCGTTCACTCTTGCTCAGCCATGTAAGACTGGACGTTGAGCCCAGAACACTTTCTTATCAAGAGATAAAAAGCCCACACATTCTGTGCTTAGCTTATTACCTTGTGTGGGAATACCTTTCTCTGCTTCTTGCTCAATGTGTACGCTCTTGTTCTGCGAAAGTATGGGCTCAGTAGCCCTCAGGCATGCCCCAACTATTTCAGACTCCATGGGGGATCGGGAGGGGTGGCACCAGAGGGGTGCATATAGGCCAATTGCCATGCATTGGATTCCAGGAGAGACACCCTGGCTATGGGGGGGACAACATCCCCCTTGAAGCTGATCTAGTCAAATTTTATGGCTAGCAACCAGTGTTGTGGGGGCATGTTAAGATATTCCTTCTAGCCCTAACTGGTTTGGCTCAGTGGATAGAGTGTCAGCCTGAGGACTGAAAGATTCCAGTCAAGGGCATGTACCTTGGTTGCGGGCACATCCCCAGTAGGAGGTGTGCAGGAGGCAGCTGATCAATGTCTCTCTCATTGATGTTTCTAGCTCTCTATCCCTCTCCCTTCCTCTCTGTAAAAAAAAAAAAAAAAAAAAAAAAAGATATTCCTTCTAAATTCCTTCTAAAGTGAAGGATAAGTTGTTACATCTGGCCCCTTCTTCAACCAAAAAAGAGACATAACACCTTACTGGGCCTCTTTGAATTTTGGAGGGAACATATTCCTCATATGGGTATGCTACTTTGTCCTTTTTACCAAATGCCCTGGAAAGCTGCTAGCTTAGGGTGGGTCCCAGAACAAGAGAAGGCTCTGCAACAGGTCAGGCCGCTGTGCAAGTTGCCTTGCTGCTTGGGCTGCATACTACAGAAGATTCAATGGTGCTTGAAATGGCCGTTGCAGATTGAGGTGGTATTTGGAGCCTTCGGCGGGCCCCTACCAGTGAATCAATCCAAGCCCTTAGAATTTTGGAGCAAAGCCCCCTACCCTCCTTTGCAGATAACTACAAAACACTTATTTTGAAACACCTCTCGGCCTACTCCTGGGTCTTCGTAGAGACTGAATGCTTAACCATAGGCCACCTTGGAGAGCTCAGGTCACCAAGTTCTATGTGATCTGAGTTCTCCATCATGACCTGGGTGTTATTGGACCCATTGAGCCATAAAGCTGGGCACGCACAGCAGCACTTCGTCATCAAATGTATGTGGTATATACAAGATGGGGCCAAGAAGGCCCTGAAGGCACAATAAAATTACATAAAGAAGTATCCCAAATGCCTAGGGTCCCTATATTCCAACATACCATACACCCATAGCCTCAGGAGTATTCCCTGTAATGGAAGACAGAGGGAGAGGAGAAGCAGGTCTATAAATGGTTCTTCACGATATTCAGGCACCACCCAAAAGTGAACAGCCACAGTACTGTAGCCCTTTTCTGGAACATCCCTGAAGGTTGTTGTGAAGGGAAGTCTTCCCAGTGGGCAGAACTTTCAGCAGTGACCCTGGTTGTTCACTTTTTTTTAGAAGGAGAAATAGCCAGATGTGCAACTATATATATCAACTCATGGCTGTGGCAATGGTTTGATTGAATTCAGGGACTTGGAAGGAACATGTTAGAAAACTGGTGACAAGAAAATTTGGAGAAGAGGTATGTGGATAGACCTGACTGAGTAGGCAAAAAAAAATAATAATAAATAATAATAATAATAATAATAATAATAATAATAAAGGTATTTGTGTCCCATGTAATGCACATGAAGAGTGACCTCAGCAGAGGAGGATTTAATAAGTGATAGGATGACCTCATCTGTGGATATCAGTGTCTTTTCCCAGCCACCCTGTCATTGCCTAATGGATTTATGAACAAAGCAGCCATCGTGGCAGGGGTGGAGGTATTGCATGGACTTTCACTCACCAAGGCCAGCCTGGCTCTGGGAATCACTGAGCGCCTGATCTGCCAGCAGAAGAGACCAACACTAGGCCCCCCCTACATGGTGCCACTCCCCTGGGTGAACAGGTTGATGACACTGGGCTGCTTTCATCATGGAAGGGCAGTGTTTTGTTCTTACTGAAATAGACATTTACTCTGGGTACATATTTGCCTTCTCTGACACAATGCTTCTGCTTTTCTGGATATTTCATATAAAATTCCCTGCCAATATGTGGTCTCTTGTGTCTGGCTTCTTTCAATGAGCATGTGTTTGAGATTAATTCATGTTGTAGCATGCATCTGTAGTTAGGTATCTTAGACTGATATCTAAAAGTAAAATAGCTATATAGCTATATTGCATGGTAAATTTATGTTTAAAAATTTAAGAAACTTCTAGAGCAACATTCTGTTTACTAGATGGGATGCTGCCTGGTTCATAAATTGTTCAGTAAAACCAATTGAAAGGAAGGAAGGAAGGAAGGAAGGAAGGAAGGAAGGAAGGAAGGAAGGAAGGAAGGAAGGAAGGAAGGAAGGAAAGAAAGAAAGAAAGAAGGAAGAAAAGAAGGAAGGAAAGAAAGGTGGGAGAATAGGAGGGAGGGAGAGAGGGAGGAAGGATGAAAGGGAGAGAAGAAAGAGAAAAGAAACTGCCAAAAACTGTTGTCCAAAGTGGTTGCAACATTTTACAATTCCACCAGCAATGCACGAGGATTCCCGGTTCTCCATATTATCTCCAAAATTTGTTATCTGTATTTTAAAAGATTTCCATACCATGAAAAACAAAAACAAAAAAATATTTTAAAAGGTTCAGTTAGGAGCCTAGCGATTTTGAGGATAAAACTATCCTCTCTCAAAACAAACAAAACCCTCACTGCGGTCCTCCGGGCGGCAGAGGGCGCTCTAAGGCAGGGCCTCTCTTCCGCGCCTCACAGCGCCATTTTAGCAAGGTCCCGTTGCTAGGAGACGGAGATGCGTCTTTCGGCTTGAGAGCCCGGCCTCCCGGCTGTCCCAGGCTGTGTCTTACCTCAGGACTAAGGTCTGCGGTCTCACTGCCGTCCAGGGGCACTTCCAGAAGGCCTCCTTCTGGGGGCATTTTCCTTCTACCCGCACTAACGCTGGCCGCAGCGGGCCCGGATCCTCGCCCAGGTCCAGCCCTTAGCCTGCCATGTCTAAGAAAGGGAAAAAGTCCAAGGTGCCCCTGACGGATGAGGAGCAGCTGCTGCTGTTCCAGCAGAGGTTGCTGGCAGAGGAGGAGCTGTCCAGGAAGAAGGAGCGGCTCCTGAGCCAGTTCTTGAAGGTGATGCTTCCTCATTATCCCTGCCCAGCCCACCCGCTCCCTGCGCTGACCCTGCTGCTTTAACCCTGCCATGGTGGCAGCGACATGTTTATGCTGGCCTCCCTCCTCCGGGAATCTGGAGACCTAAATATACTCAGACTTCAGGCAACAGTGTTTGGAAGGAGGAGCGGTGGTATAGAGCGTGGCAGTCACAACTGAGTCCCAGGACTAGGTCAGTAGGTGCTCTCAGCCATCCCAACTGTTGGAAACTCTGATAGTCTCCCTGGAGATGGGTCATTACACAGGGCCCTGCTCTGATGTCTCCATCCTAAAGGAAGATCACCCTTCCCCTCCTTCCACATGGCTGTTCTGTCTTACTTGAGATGCTCCCCAAACACGAACAGGAATTACCTGAGTGATAGCCATTAGGAGCTTGGGTCCCTCGGAAAAGACAAAGGGTAAAAGTGACTGTTGACAGACTAAGTGCAGTCTTGTTGGCTGTGCTGCCTTAGGGCTTTTGACCCTGACCTCCTTCAGGTGTGTTTATTCCTTCACACAGGACAAGCTGGCCAAGGAGGAGCACAACAGTGCTCTGAACCTTAATAAGATTAACACACAGTGGAGAGCTGTTCTCCGAGAAGTCAAGACCAAAGAGCTTCTTAAGGACATTGAGATCCTCAGCCAAACATTTGAACGAGTGGTGGACTGCAAGGACAGTGTCATCAAGGTAGGTGTTCTTCTCAAGGAAATACTTGAATATGGCTGCCTTGATTTCTTCTCTTAATGGAATGGGCCTAGAAAGTTAATTAATTATTCAATCTTAATGCCCTCACAAGCAGCAGGCTGTGATGAAACTAGGCCAGTGGTCGGCAAACTCATTAGTCAACAGAGCCAAATATCAACAGTACAAGGATTGAGATTTCTTTTGAGAGCCAAATTTTTTAAACTTAAACTTCTTCTAATGCCATTTTTTCAAAATACCATAGACTCGCCCAGGTTGTGGTATTTTGTGGAAGAGCCACACTCAAGGGACCAAAGAACCGCATGTGGCTTGTGAGCCTGTTTGCTGACCACAGAACTAGGCTATTGGTAATAACAACTTTCACTGAAATGAAGAGTAGACTATTGGATGGTCACACCTCTCCATCACTTAGAGGAGCCATTGCTTTTAGTCATCTACTGCCCCAAACCAGTACTATACAATATTAGAGTTACAAGGCACAGTAGACATCACCCCAGGACTTGAACTTAGTCCTACATCTTCATTTCAATGTAAGACTACTCAGTTCCAGAGGGAGGAAATGACTACTCAGTTCCAGAGGGAGGAAATGGCTCATTCAAGGTCACACAGCTAGTCAACGAGAGAGCTGGGACTACAGCACTGGTTTCTTGATTCCTATTCTAGTGCTTTATTCAACCAAATTCTGTTTAGCCTCTTTGATTCAACTTCAGTAGCCTTGGGTAAGGCTAAGAAGATCTCAATGGGTAAGAGCAGTTCTGGATCTCTTAAGCAATTCAATCAGTCATCCTTATACTATTGGGAGATTCTTGTATCCATACCATCTTTTAAAAAGAAAGTTTTTATTGATTTGTGAGAGAGAAGAAGGGAGAGGGAGAAAGAAACATCGATGAGAGAGAGACATTGATTGGCTGCCTCCTGAGCTCCTTCCCCCTTACCTCCTACCCCCCAAACCCAGTGTGTGCCCTGACTGGGAATCAAATCAGTGATCTCTCAGGTACATGGGACAACACTCAACCAACTGAGCCACACCGGGCCATACCATCTTTTTTGCTAAGGAATTTTGCTGTGTCTTTTTTCATTCTAGTCTTAATCTCTGCTCACTGGTTCCTTCCCTTTAGGCTTTTCTATCTTAAAATCCTATATAATAAAGAGGTAATATTCAAATTGACCACCATGCCCTCACACAATATGGCCGTCCCCATGTGGTCACAAAATGGCCACCACATGATGGCCAGCAGGGGAGGGTAGTTGGTGGAGACCAGGCTGTCAGGGGAGGGCAGTTGGGGGCAATCAGGTCAGCAGGGGAGGGCAGTTGGGGCAATCAGGCTGGCAGGGAAGTAGTTAGGCATCAATCAGGCCAGCAGGGGAGTGGTTAGGGGGTGGTCAGGCTGGCAGACAGAAGTGGTCAGGGGCAATCAGGTAGGCAGGCAGGCAAACAGCTGTGAGCCAGCAGTCCTGGATTGTGAGAGGGATGTCCCAGATTGGAGAGGTGCAGGCTGGGCTGGGGGACACCCCCCACACACACACACACAGTGCACAAATTTTGTGCACCGGGCCTCTAGTATATATATAATTTATTTCAGAGAAGAAGGGCAAGGGAGAGAAGATAGAAAGAAAAGAGAATCATTGATCAGCTGCTTCCTGTAGGCCCCACACTGGGGATTGAGCCCGCATCCAGGCATGTGCCCTGACTGGGAATCAAACTGAACCCCATTGGCTGGGCTTAGGGGCATGCAGGAAGTAGCTGATCAATGATTCTCATCATTGATGTTTCTCTCTCTCGTTCTCCCTTCCTCTCTGAAATAGATGAAAAATATATTATTAAAAGATTCTCTCTTTGTCTTTAACCTTTGGCACTGTAATTATAATGTGTCTTAGTGTAGGCCTCTTATTTGGGATTCTCTGTGCTTCCTGGATTTGTATGTCTATTTCTTTTACCAGGTTAGGGAAGTTTTCCATCATTATTTTTTCACATAGTTTTTCATTCCCTGTTCTCTCTCTTCTCCTTTTGGCATTCCCATGATGCAAATGTTTGAATGCTTAAAGTTGTTCCAGAGGCTCCTTATACTATCCTCATTTTCATGGATTTTTTTTTTCTTTTTGCTGTTTTGATTGGATGTTTTCTGCTTCCTTGTCTTCCAAATCTCTAATTTGACCCTCTGCTTCGCCTACTTCACTATTGATTCCCTGTAATGTATTCTTCACTTCAGTTAGTGTATTCTTTATTTCTAACTGGTTCTTTTTCATGTTTTCTGTCTCTGTTTTTATGTTTCCTTTCTCTTTTTTGAAGTTCTCACTAAGTTCATATATTCTTTCCCTAAGTTTATTTAGCATTTTTATATAAACAGTGGTTTGAACTCTGCAGGTAGATTGCTTGTCTCCATTTTATTTAGTTCTTTTTCTGTTTTTTTTTTCCTGTTATTTCATTTTGGACATGTTTCTTTGTCTCATTTTGGTTGCCTCCTTGTGTTTGACTCTATGTATTAGGTAGAGCTGCTACATCTTCCCATCTTGGTGGAGCAGTAGGTGTACTGTAGGGTCCAGTGTCAGCCTCCCCAGTCACTTGAGCTGGTCACTCCAGTGCATCCCCCACAGGGACTATGTATACCCTCCTGTTGTAGTTGAGCCTCGATTGCTGTTGGCACCTCAATGGGAGGGATTTACCCCCAGGCTGATAGGCTGTGAGGACTAATTGCTACTACCATGGAGGATCAGCTATGCAGGGGCTGACCCCACATGGCAGGATTTACTTCAACAGGATTCTAGTGACTGCTGAGTCCACCCTTTGAATGTATCCCTTGTGGAGGAGGTTGGGTGGCACTTCGACCTGGTCTGAAGCTGTCCACCAAAGCACCGACTCTGAAGCCTCCTGGGAGGTGCAGATCAAAGCCAGCAGCCACCTGTGTCCTGCCCAGGGCCACCCTTCATGAGCTACAAAGTAATATGTAGGTGGCTGCTATTTGTGCTAGAATTGGATTTGCCCAGCAGAGGCCAAGCTGTGAACCAAGGCTGGCTGCCACTAGTGCCAGGCCTGGGGCCACTTAGTGAGAGGCATGTGGCATGCTGAGGCCAGAGGCTGATTGGTTTTTGTTTTTTTTTTAATAGCCAATCATTGTTTCTTTAGTGTTCTGGGTTTTTGTTTGTTTGTTTTGTCTTTTTTAAAAATATATATTCTTCTTGATTTCAGAGAGGAAGGGAAAGAGAATAGAAACATCAATGATGAGAGAAAATCATTGATTGGCTGCCTCCTGCACAACCCTCACTAGGAATTGAGCCCCCAACCTGGGCATGTGCTGTTGGCCAGAATTGAACCTGGGACCCCTCAGTCTGCAGGCTGACACTATCCACTGAGTCAAACTGGCTAGGGCCAGATGCTGCTTGTTTGAGAAATTTTAGGAAAGTCTGAAGCATTTACCAACATAGGTCGTTTGTATGGAAAAACCACAGGAAATGGCTTGGACTGGACCCACAAGATGAATGGAGTGGGGTCTCAGAGAATCGGCAGAGCAGGGCCAGCAGCATTAGCCAGGTTAATGGAGATTCAGATATGGCACCAGCCTGCAGGCTCTGTGGGGCAAGAGCCCAGGAAAAGAACAATGGCTTCTGCCAACACTTCTGTCTGGGAAAAAGCTGCTCCTCCAGCTCTTGCCTCAATGTCAGACAACTCAGTTCCCCCTTGTATGTCCCCGGTGCCTCAGCACTGGAGCTTAGAGCAAGTGAGTCCTAGTAAGTCTGTGGGCAGGACCTTTAAGAGGAACTGCCTGGGACTCCAGAAGTCCTGGTCTCACTTATCCATAATCCCCACTGGTTTTTATAATCACAGTTATGGGGACTTCTCTTCCTGGCACTGGAACCCTGGTTTGGGGAACTTAGTGTGGGACTGGGACCCCTCATGCCTCAGGGGGGACCTCTGCATTCACGATATCTCTCTCCATGTGGATGTGAGATCAGCCCATTCAGCAGCTCTTCACCTCACAGGACTTCTGTTCAGCTAGATTTCAGGTGATTCTTAATGATAGTTGTTCTGTAAGTTTAGTTGTAATTTTGATGTGGTTGTGGGAGAAGAATTTAAGTATTGCTTTTACCTATGCCACCATCTTGACCTGAACATCCAGATAATCTTTCTAAAACAAAATCTGATCTTGTTATTCCACTGCTTAAGTGTCCTAAGTGGCTTCCCACTTCTACAGGGAAGGGGAAAAAAATCCATACTGCATGGCAAGAATAGCAATGCCCTTCATGATTTACCCTCTACCTGTACCTTTCACAGCCTTGTTTCTTACCTGTGCCTTTGTACATACTATTTCCTCTACTTGGAATTTTATTTTCCCCATCTCCTCAGTTTTCCTGGCAGACTCTCACTCCTCTTCAAGAACGATACAAATGACATCTCTTCTGTGAAGCCTTCCCCAGTATTCTTAGTTAGATGTAGGCACTCAGTTCTTTATATCCCATTGTCAATGGTAAATCATTAATTTCATATCACTTAGCATGTTAAACTGTAATGTTCTGTTTATATAACTCTTTTCCTACTTCAAGACTGCAAGCTCCTTTGAGGGCAGTGAGGATGTCTTCCAATCTCGGAATCCTCAGTATCCAGCATAGTGCTGGATAAATATTTGTTGAGTGAGTGAACAGTCATCCAATATCAGAACCTATTTCATAAGATCCCTTTTCATGTAAACATAAGGTGAAAGCTAGTGCTGTATAGAGGTTGTGGTAGTTCACAGTGGGACTCAAGGTGCTTGGATCATATGGGAACTCAGTAAATGCTTCTTTGTTCTATTTACTTTAATTTTATTTTGCTTTTTTTTAGGACACAACGTTTTCTTTAATTATTTTTTTGGGGGGAAGGGACACCACATTTCTACTCAATGCCCAACCAACTGAACCACACCGGCCAGGGCTCACTTGACTTCTTTGAATGGTTACATTTCCATTGTCCAAAATTAAAAAGATAAAAAGTTACATAGTGAAAATTCCTTCCAGCTGCCCAATGCCCATTAGTTGCATGAATAAATATTATTTTATACAAATGGTAGTATCACATACTGTTCTTCTCATTGCCTTTTTCACTTAACAATAGTCCTGGGTGCCTGGCCGGTGTGGTTCAGTGCTTGAGCATCCACCTATGAACCAGGAGGTCAGTGTTCAATACTGGGTCAGGGCATATGTCTGGATTTTGAGCTTGATCCCAATTCGAGCTTGACGTGCAGGAGGTAGCTGATCAATTATTTTCATTATTGATGTTTCTCTCTCTCTCTCTCTGAAATATATATATATATAATTTTAAAAGCAGGACAAATTCTTGATTCCTTCTTTTCCCTGACAAAATACCCTAGGTCCAACTTGTTTATTTTTGCCTCAGATTTCGAAGCAGCCATTTCTCTACGAATCCCTGATTCCTTTTAGTGGTGGCCCCATCACTGTAAATGTTTGTTGTCCCTAGGACACTGGCTGGCTATATGGGGTTCTCTGCTGTCACTCTGACTTTAAGTTCGATAGTGAGAGAACCAGCACGCTTAGGTTCAAAGAAAAGTCATCCAGTTAACCAGCTGAATACATCTTTAGTTTTCTCACACAGAAGTCATCCAGCCAAAATGGTAACTCTGTGTTTCCTACCCAGTCTTTAGCGAAGGACCTGTCAGAAGCGGAGGAGCAGTATGCCCATGCCCTGCGCAGCCACTTGCACAACATTGACCATCTGTTGGCCTTGCAGAGGTGCCGACTCAACCTCCTGGAGGAAAATTACAACATGGAGCTGGAGACCCTCACCAAGGAGTTTGAGACAGAAAGGTATGGGGGTCTGAGTCCCCAAGGGAGCATAGAGAGCCTGTGTAAGGAGCTGTCTGTAAGCAGGTGGCCAGCACTCTCAAGCATCCCACCTGGATTATGACCTTACCTCCATCAGAAAAGACCCTGACTTCCTTCTAAACTGATGTGGGCTTAGCTTGTGGCCGTAGCCTTCCTTTGCCCGTGCCAGGTCCCTGTTTGTAATATGTCATCACCACTGTCAGCTCTCAAAATCCTCCCCATCTGGCAGGGGACAGGAATGGGAAGGAGACTTCTCACTGTAACCTTTGCACTTTTTAATTTTTATATCACATGAATATATTAACCTATTCAAAAATAAAAATAATCTTATTCATTCTTTTTGGCCCTAAAGGAAATAGATCCCTCCCTTCAAGGGAAGGTGAAAAACTTGGATTTTTATATGAAACCTCCCATAAAAATTAGTACCTAAGAGTTTGTACCATTCGTAGAGTTTTATCACATACTGCTTTGAGTTGTCATTGTTGGCCCATTTGCTATATTCCTCAGAGCAGGGACAGTGTCTTATCTTCCCTAGGAAGACTATTATTGACCAACATGAAAAAGAGATTCACTACCTACAAGATGTCTTCATGGCCATGGAGCAGAACTACATAGATTCTGAGTATGAAAGCAAGCTGGAGTTCCAGAGCATGTGGGATGATCTCAAAAACAAGGTACAGAGGGGAAGTAATGGGCAAGAGATGGGAGAGAAGTGAGAGGAAAATGCTCCAGGCGAGCAGCTCAGAGAGATTCCTTTAACCAAGATAATCAATAAAATGCCTGTTGCCACTGTAGGAACACCTATTGCCTTTTGTACTTTTGTGAAGATTGGTCGGGAGGGAGGATCATTCCGAGATGTCAAGGCAATGCCTTTCAAAGCTAATAAGCAACAAGCAGATAATCTGGCTTCACCTGGGAAAGATATGCTTTGATTTCTGGCCCCAGTCTTTTTACCTGTCTCACTGAAGACCCTCAGTTATTCAAGTGTTTCTTCTAATCAACTGTTCTTCCGGGATTCCATAATTATTTTGAAAGGTGAGATCGTGGTAGACAGCCATGAGATTTGTAATGAGGAAATGAAGGCCCTGTAAAATACAATGACCTGCCGAAGCCAGGGGGAGAATCCAGCTTCTGGCCCCTGGGCCAGAGTGCTTTCCACCATCCTGTAGGCTGCAAGCTTTAGCTAGCCTGCTGACCTGGGTTTGAGTATGAGATTTTTTGTTTTTATTTTGCCCTGAAGAGGTGTTGTTGTTTTTTTGTTTGTTTGTTTGTTTTAATATATTTTATTGATTTTTTACAGAGAGGAAGGAGAGGGATAGAGAGTTAGAAATATCGATGAGAGAGAATCGTCGATCAGCTGCCTCCTGCACATCTTCCACTGGGGATATGCCCGCAACCAAGGTACATGCCCTTGACTGGAATCGAACTCAGTACCCTGAGTCCACAGTCCGACGCTCTATCCATTGAGCCAAACCGGTTTCAGCGCCCTGTAGTATTTTGTAAAACATTTTAATAATGTTCCAAAATTTTAAAAATGGGAGGTTTCACATAAAAATCCAAGTTTTTACCTTCCCTTGAAAAATGTGAAGATCTGGTAACACCGGGTCAATGTTTCCAAATGGAGACACTCACGTAGAGCTGAGCAGCTGTGCCTTCCCCACCTCCCCACCCCACCCCCTCCGCTAAAGAGCATTTCCTCTCTGGTTCACCACAGGCCCCATCTAGCCCACAGCACTTATTTATATCATCTGCCTGGTCTTTGTAGGCATTTTCATTGGCGCCCCTGCACTCTCCTATGCTATAAACAGGGCAAGAGTGTGAGGTTACTGGTGGTAGTGAAAGGGCACTAAAAGGGTAATTCCAAGCATTGGCTATTTTGGGGCCACTTCCTAGAATATAGAAGAGAAGCACTTTCTAAGACTGCAACTAGAGAGTGTAGTAGAAGATCTGTGGAGAAGGTTCCAGGATGCACTTAAGAATTACACTGATGCCACAGAGGATCGAAAGATTGCCTTTGAGGCTTTGAAACTGAAGGACGAGAAGAGCTCCAAAGACATTGAAACACAGATGAGAAGAATACAGAGACTGCAGGTGAGTGCACCCAATCAGAAACACTCACTGCTTTACCTTCTTCTTTATCCCCTCCCTGTTCACCCCCCCCCCCGCCAACTCCCATGGGGCCTCATCACTAATTGGGGAAAGAGATGCTTTGATTTCCATCCCAGTTTTTTTCCCTGTCTCACTGAAGACTCTCAGCCAGTCAAAAGTTTCCTCTAATCTACTCCATTATTCCAGGATTCCATACTTATTTTGAAAGGCAAAATCATGGTGCATAGCCGTGAGAGCGAAGAACAGAACCAGTACATTCGTGATGACAAGGAGTTGGTCCTTATCCAACTACGAAAACTTAAGGCCCAAAGGACTCATATCTGGGAAATAGCACAGGAGAATTTAGTCAAACTCACTCTGGAGAGTAACACCGCCCTCAAAGCCCTGACAGCGATTGTTGATAAGGTGACGGGAGAGGGTGGCCCAAACCCTGTGACGTAAAAAGGGTTTGAGAATGGTAGAGGATGCTTCCTCCTGCTTCCTGCCTGAGGGGGCACTTGGAATACCTTTTTTTATTTCATATCCCCTTCCCACTCACATTTTAAGTTAAATGCATTAATAATGAATGGATTTTGTAAGAATGTAAAATACTTGCCATGCAGTAAGCAGCTCTGTGTGAGATGTGCATATTACTCGTCTCCCACTTAAATTAACAGCTTCCCTGGTTCAGGCAGGGAACCAGCTCCAATACTCCCCTTCCCATGTCTTTCCTAATAAAAGGTGTCTTCCTGCTTTCAATAGGGCGAAAAGGTCCTCAGACTTGCTGAAATATGTAGGAAACTTGAAACAGAGGAAGAAAAAGTGCTGCCCTTTTATTCATCAACATTGACTCCGGAGGAGCTGGAGGAGATAGAGGAAATTACCCCAGAGGAGCTCACTGAGGAGCTGGCAAAGGTAAAGCTCCCAGGGCCTCTGGGCGGGGATGACGGATCCGGGCTGTGTTCACTAAGGGCCCCACCACACACCTCCCTTTAAACCCGCTCCCAGGTGATAGCGGATTACATAGGGATGGATAATTTCTGGAAACGGTACAACAAAGTGAAACTAGAACAACTGAGCCTCCAACGAAGACGTAGCCAGTTGTTAGACATCAACGGGAAGCTGAGGGAGATGCTCAAGCGGTACCTGGATGGCATCTCGGTGAGCGACGAAGTGCTGAGCCAGCTCAACCCACTCTTCATCGTCAACTACCAAAGCAACTTACCCCAGACCTTGTCCAAACCTACAACCCAGCCAGGTGGCAAGAAAAGTCAACCCACTTACAACGTCATTGAGGCAGCCCACGTGGTCTCCCATATCCTGTGATACAAGGAGGAAATCTCTTTTCAACCTCCAGAGAATTTTTTTGAGAGACCTGAGGACTTTGCTATTAAAAATTCCCATAGAGCTCATGAGCCCCTTTTATCTTTGCCTTATTGGACAGAAGAGTCTATGTTTACAACACCAGGAAGTAAGCAGCCCCAGGGCATGGAGAGGATAGCTAGGCAACTACTAGGAGGCTTATTTCTCAATGAAGCATTACTCCCAGAGTCAGGTCACCACGGGAGCCAAAACCTATACCTCCCGGACCTAAAAATCCTAAAAATCCGGTGGGAATTCAAGCACAAGCCCCAGGAGTCAGTCAGGACAGGAAGAGGAGGCCGGGGGAAGAGGTGATTCAGAGCCTCTAACCACCCCCACGACAGACAAGATCCAGCCCCTTCACCTCATCCCCACTTCCAAAAGTAGCCTCAGAAAGGATCAGTTGACAAATGCCAAGAAGTTTTTTAAATTACTATTTATTATTTCTTTTTGCTCTTGTTTCGTTTCTCTTCCTTGAGCTTCTTTTTGGAGACTTTAGGACTGCTGGCCTTTTTGTACAGGTGATACCCAATGAGGCTCAGGAGGGCCGGCACCATTGCCATGCCCACCAGAGGCAAAACGCTCTTCATCAGCTTTTGCCAGTAGTTGGCTCGGATCAGTGCAATCAGCTCCACGTCAAACTGCAGCACTGCATCCGCTGGAGGCAGAGAAGAGGCGAGGATTAGGGTCTCTGTGCAGTTCATTTAGGACTCTGAATGAATGAAAACAGAGAAGGCAGGCCACACCAGAGCAACAACTATGAAGCTGGAAAGATTTAAATGTGGGGTTGAGTTCCCTTAGACAAGGCAGCGATGGGTTATGAGCAGAGTCTAGTGATAATCGTGTTTCCCCCAAATATACAAATGTGGCTTGGTTTCCATGATGGGTCTTTGACAGCACAGTTTCTGTGGATCTGAAACGTGCACACTGTTCTCCATTTATGAGTGAGAGAAGCCTCTATACTAACTGTACTCCATTTCCAAACAACCGCAAGGATATCATCTTTGCAGGGCTGAAATTAATTAGATTTAAACTAGACTTTTAAATTCTACCAACCAGTGAGCATATTCAATGAAATTATTAGAGAAGATAGGTGTTCTAATGTAAGAGCTTCAGAGAAGAAGGATGTGTCTTAAGAAAGAAGGTATGGGGGAATGAGTGAGAAGTGAGAAAGAAATGTAAATAGAAGCAGCACCAGAAAGCAGAAGGTACTAGAGCTTTGAGTAAGAGTTCATTCTCTTTAGTCACCCTATCCTCTCTCCAGGTCTCTCTCTAAGCTGGAACTGGGATAAGAACTTTTTCCCTTTCATGATTTTATAGTAAAGATATTTTTCTCTAGTACCTTAAAAAAAAAAAAAAAAGAACTTTTCCCCTGATACTCTGAGGTATAACACATTTTAGCTAACAGAACATGTGTTATAACCAAAAGCAAGAGACATACATCTTGTGAAATCTGTCTAATCCCAGGCCTTTAAGAGTAAGAATCAACAGTGACTTGAGAGGGCTTTTAAAGTTATGGGGTGGGCTTGGCTTTTAAAAGTTGTTCTTTTGTTTCATTTTGTTTTCAATTACTTGACTATGATCCTTTTTCCTGGTGAAGACTGAGAGGAAGGGTGGAGATGCAGCGAGAAGCCATGCCAACTGCACAAATGACTCCATTTGTAATTGCAGGAAAAGACAGGAAAGTAGTCCAGAGTTCTGGGAAGCAGGCCCATGTGGCACAAGCAGGTGTCTCCTTTCTGTAAAGCTGCCAGAGGACAAGCCAGGTGACATTAACAGGCTCTCTGGCCCCTAGAGAGGGCCCCAGCCACCGCTGTCCCTTTTTGCAAACTGATTTAGACCTTCTCAAGCTCCAAATTATATAGCTCTGAGAGATGGGTATTTTGATTTGAAAGAGAGCTCTGGTCCGGTTACCTGGGATAGATGGTGGAAATCCCCGTTTTCCATAGGCCAAGTGAGAAGGAATGATTGCCCTTCGCTTCTCTCTGAGGGAAAGAATGTAAGTCACAGCCAGAGGTGCGACCAGGTAGGCCAGCAGCCTCAGTCCATCTGAAGCCCCGCCAGCAAAACCCTCTAGGTATTCGTGTCCAAAAGATGGACTTTCCCACCTTATACCAAACAGGTTGACCAGCAAAGGTATATGTACATCCAGCCTCCCTCCCCTCATGCTTCAACTCCTCCAACAAAACCCACAGCCAGGGAGGCACGGGGGTCCCCGATGACTGATGCAAAGCCAGGGGCCTCTGCCCCGAGCTTTCCCGCCTCCTCTGGAAGCAGAGGCAGCAGCGAACACTTCCAGCCGTGCAGAGGGAGTACCCACGCCCAACTCTGCCCAGATACTCACCCCACACACATGTCTAGAAGGCTCTGCTCCAGACCTTGAGGAAGAAGACATGACTGAACAGGAAGCTACCTACAGTCCCAAAATCCCAGGAGAGGAGATCAGTGGTTCCCCCTGCACCCTTAGCTGAGCTCCCCGCTTCTTAGATCTCGGGCTTCCTTCTCTAGGGTGTGGGGCAGGAGGAGCATTGGAAGTGGGGTCTGACCCTCAGGAGGGCCATTTCTAAGGTGGCTCAGGGAGTGAAGGGTTAAGAAAGCACTTAGGCTGGCATGAGTGGGAGGCACAGGTCACATACCTGGGATCACCTGCTTTTGGCCAAGCTCTATAACCAGAGGGTCTCTGGTCAGGGAAGTATCAATAACACGTCCATCTACCAAGCTGCCCTGAGGGGAGAGAGCATCCAAAGCTCACACCTAGTAACGCTCCCTCCCATACACACCTGGGCTGCGGGCGGGGCAGCCCCTAGCAGCTGCAGCCTAGCACTCCCCTCCGGGCAGAAAGGAACAGGAAGCCCTGAAGGACTGGCACTTATTGGAGATCTCTCCTCCCTTCACTTCTCGGTGCTCCGGAGGAACTGGGGGGAGGAGGGGGGATCAGAGAGGGGAAATGGGCTGGAAGAGGAACGTCCTCCCCCCCTCCCCCCCCTCCCCCCGCCACGTGCTCCAAGACCCCAGAGCCCAGTCACTCCCCTAACCACTCGCCACGTGTCCAAGCCAGAGCTGACGTGTTGCACCGGGGCGCCGCCCCCTCCCAGGCTCCGCCCGCGCCCCCCGCACCCCTCACCGTGTAGTGTATGTGCAGCGTGTCTCCCAAGGCAGCGGGCTCCGCGCACGGCTCGGGGGGCTCCACCTGTGATCGGACTGCAGGAGTCACGGAGGATCCTCCAAAGATCCCATTCTTGTCCCAAACCCGACACCCCCAGCTCAGTCCCCGCGCTTCTCCTCCCGGCTCGCACGTTCACTGAGACCTGGATTCGCGCTCCAGACCTGCCCCGCGGACCGGACAGGGGCAATCTCCTCACCAGGGTCTCCACTTGGAGGGTCCGGACGGGACTTTCGGTTTCGAACCCAGGCTCAGCCTGGCTCGCCGCCCCACCGAGCAGCAGCAGCAGCAGCGGCAGCAGGCGGAGCGGGAGCAGCGGCGGGCGCAGGGTCATGGTCGGACTCGGTGCAGCGCGCTGGACACCAGGACCGGCTGCCTGGGTGGCGGTGGCTAGAACAGCGGTTCGCTCAGCGCCCAGGCTAGACTGGACAGGACGGGGCGGGTTGGACACACCAGCTCCTCCTCCTGCAGCCCATCCTCCACTTTGTCCCCACCTCCTGGAGGGCGGAGGCCCCAGGAGCCCTCCCTACCCTCTAAGATCCGAGACTGTGGATTCTGGTCGGTCAGTTAGCGTCCTGTCTGTCCCACAGCGAGGGCCCGGGACACATACCACCGCCCACTATTAACCTATGTGGCAGGCCCTTGTCTGTAATCCTCAAAACCACCCTGAAAAGTAGCCGTAATTGTTCCCATTTTACAGATGAGTAACTGGGTGCTCGGGTTAATTTACCCAAGGTCATCCAGCTAAGTGGTGACAGAGACAAAGTTCAAACCCAAGACTGCCTGAATCCCAGCTTGTTTGCTTTCTGCTTTTGTCTAAGACACCCGGCTCCCCACGCCTATCCGGGCAGTGTCGCGGTGTCTGGCTGGCCCATCCTACCCCAGCAGCTGTCAAAGGCAGCATCTCTCTCCCATCTCCCCCCTTTCAGTGTGAATTTTTGGAGGTCTGACATTCAGGTGATTCTGCATCACGTGTTTTCATCTCTGCACACGCCCATGCTATGCTCTTCCTTCACCTGTCAAGCTCACTTTAGACCAGTAGTTTCCAACATGGGGTATATGCTCCACAGGGGGGCAATTTGATTTTTTAAGGGGGGCAATTCGAGAATGAGTTATTAACATGATTTTTTGCATTTCTTATGGTTCTAGGAGACTCATATACAGTATATAAATATATGGCATATTTATGCATTTCAGTTCTCTATTATGTTTTGAAACTTTATTTGCTATTTTTCATATCACTTCACATTATTATTTTAAACAATTTCTTAGTGATTTCTTCCTCAGTATTTCAACTACACTTTCGTTCTTTTATTTTTCTCTTTCACGGATGACATGTTCTTTGGATGCTTGTTTAGACCAAGTTAATGAATGGCCTTTTAGACTTCTTCCATGTGAACAGTTCACTTTTTGAATAACTATTATGTCCTGGAGAGCATCAGGATTTTAGAGATGCTTAGGTGAGGCATGGCCAAGACAATTAAAAAAGGTTGGGAACCACTGCTTTAGACCAAGCTCAAATATCACTGATTCCAAGCTAGAAATAGCTTATTTCTTAACTTCAGGCATACACTCAGGACATTATTTTTCCTTATGTTGTGGTTATTTGTGTACTAGAGGCCTGGGGCATGAAATTCATACACTTGGGGGACAGGGTCCTTCAGCCCAGCATGTGCCCTTTTGCAGTTCAGGAGCCCTCGGAGGACGTCTGACTGTTCTGGAGAGGCTAGGCTCCTGCCACCACGGCTGTGCTCACCAGCTCCCAGCCTGGCTCTGGCTGAGCAGCACTCCTCTTGTGGGAGCGCACTGACCACCAGAGGGCAGCTCCTGCACTGAGCGTCTGCCCCCGGTGGTCAGCCCGCATCATAGTGACCGGTTGTTCAGCTG